TTAGAACGCCAAGGGTACAAAACCTGGAGTAAGACCGAGTAAATTTCGGAACACGGCCTAGGGGTCCTAATCTGGACATCTGGCGAAAAAGGCGGCGAAAAATCTGGCGGCCCTGATTGGCCGACGCCGCACTTGACCTTGGCACCGGCCAGTCATAGCCGCCGAGTTTCTCGCCGACTTTTTCGCCAAGTGTGCAGATTAGGGCCCCAGATAGTGTGGCTCCGGAAACTACGTTGTTTGCACACCCTTCGCTTTTCCTTTTCTGACACTATTTTTTTTTTTTTTTTTTAGTTTATCATTCGTGCCAGAAAGCGCGTTATTATGGTGCCAAAAGCTTGTGCCGCTCCTCACAACGCCGCACCCAGCAAGAAGAATTTGTTTCTCTCAACAAGATGGCTTCCACTGACTTAATATCAGCTGCCATTTTAGTGGCCTTGCCGCTGATCGCGTGCCTTCCGAGACATAGACTTCCCACCACCAAATTATTTTTTTTCTCCGCATGAAAAAGCGGCAATGACCACCACCATGAGGTGATCACGTCAAGTGCAAGCAATTTATAAGAAAAAGCAGTTTCTTGGTTAAATGCAGTAGGGTGATTTTAGATAAGAACGACCAAAGGGTAGCTGGTCGACATTTTTATATCAACTGATATTTTTATATGCTATTTTCTAGTGTCTATTATAAACGAATCCAAACTTAGTTTTAACCAGAAAAAATATTTTGGGATAGGAAAAATCGTAAGGCATAAACAAGTGGACAGTTGCATTAAAGCGCACTGATGGAAGGGGCGCGTTTGAAGGTGAATAATTAAAGAGATAAAGTTAGAAGAATTTTATTACTTTAAAAAAAAAAACTATGGGTACAGCTTGCTTGTAATATAAAGTAATAATATTGATTGAAATTCTATTTATTTTCCTAAAATTTGCCAAACATGCTTGAGACGTCGTCGTGTTTCTTCCACACAGTCTTAGGTGGTCTAAAAAATGGGATGCTTGCTCGAACGACAAATGGCAAAATTTGGAGGCCTGTATCTCATGAAACAATTTAATCATTATCATATAATTTGCAGATAATATTCTACTTATATATGGCTATTAAAAAATAAATAAGGTATCTGAGTGATACGATAAAAGGGATATATTTAGGCAAACATGGGGAAAAAATCAAAGAACGAAAACTTCTGATGCGAATAAAACAAAAATACCACCTTCAATTTTTTTTTTAAATTGGCGTACCCTGTTATACTCTATTTCGGCATTCATTTCTATTAAAAGCATGTTGTATTATTTTATTGAGAGAGAAGAAACCGCTTTCCCAAGTAGGGTCCTTTTTCAAAACCTACACTTAGCAGTGCCCTATACAAGAAGTGACCCTGAGTTCCAGTTTCATGACACCAGCACACTTTTATATATTTTTATTCAAACGAGGCCATTGATAACTATAGAAACCGTTAACACACTCAAATTGAGGAGAAACTACTGTGTACGAAGAGCTATCATATTACGAACTAGTTATGCGAGAAAAGATCCTGCTGCCATCGGCCACTGGAAACTTTGGTTACTTTATTTTTCTACGGCACTATATGGTCCTCTGTCTTACCCTCTATCTCCTTCTCTCTCTCTCTTTTATAAATATCCCTGACTTATATCTAGAATAAAAACATATTCAAGCATTCCCTTCCTGCATGGAAGTGTTCTGTGGCTAGCAACAATAATTTCCTCGCGAAGATCACGATTATGGCGCAATAGTTGACGGAAGTAGCAGACGACACTCGTCGCTAGTTCTCGCAAAACGGCCGATACAATCGTTTTTTCGCATTTCCCCGCTCGCTGTCAAGGATGAGGGGGTTCGCTTCAACCAGCAAAATATGGCCGTCGATGCCTGTTTACTGAGCAGTCGTGCCTGTAGCCATCCCACTCGCTGACTTCGCTGGCGAATATCAGACACAAAAAGGCAGACCGACAGAGAGCAGAACCCCCAAATACTCGAGCCCCGCCTAAATACAATAGAGCGTAAACATGGTCACCATGTTAACCTAGGAAAGCTTAACATGGCGACAGTGTTTACATTTTAAGTGAGGAAAAGCATGGCGCGTGGTATGAGCCGGATCCTTACACGAGGTGCAAGCTGAGCCCTGAGACCTTACCTGCTGCCCTAGAGTACTTCACGAAAGACGAGCTACAATGTTCGCGCCAAGGTCCGAACCAGAAGAACGTGATCTCTGTCATGCTCGACGGGGAAAAAACGTTTGTGCCAAAGCACTTCCTGACACGCTCAATCCGAGAGGCCTTTCGTGTATACAAAGACAAGCATCCTGATTCCGGCGTTGGGCTAACGAAGCTTTATTCCTTGCGCCCTGATGCGTCAAATGTGTACCACACCAGGAAGTGTGCGTTTGCGTGCGCTGCGCCAATTATTACATTTGTATTGCCGCTATAGAGAACGTTACAGGCTCTACATTCAACACTGGTGAAATGAACTCGGCATTTCTGTGCGACCCACTAACAAGTCTGTGCCTTTAAGGGGACTGTGATCACTGCCCAAAAGGTCAGTTCTTACACTCGAGGAACTTCATGTCCCAGAGGATGAAGAGATTGTGCTTACAACATAGAAGTACGGCCGACCTTGTTAAAAAAACGAAAAACAACACAAAAAAAAACATTGGATTTTGAAACTTTCCTAAAAGTCGTTCAAGTAACGGTTGAAAGTTGGATATTTCACTACCATATCCGACAAACGCAAGATAAAGCGATCTACGATGAAAAGCAGCTGCATGCAACGCGGGAGCATTGTCCTTCATTTTGACTTTGCTGAAAACTGGACCATCGTGCTTCCTGAGATAGTTAAAGCATACCACTGAAGAAAATATTTACGATATTTACATGTGTAGTGACGACAAGAAAATCTACAAACCGCGTTGCTATCATCAGTGAGGACCTGTGTGATGACGTCGCTCTCACGTGCTTGGCTCTACCAGCTTCACCAGTTTGCACAGAACGATTGCCCACAAGCCCAGTAGTTATTTTCTGCATCTGGACATGGGAAAATGCATGCGACGGAGTTGGCGGACTCGTGAAGCACCAGGCCACGCTGAACAACCTGAGAGAACGCTCCATAAACGCAGTTCAAAGGGCCAGGACAATGGTGAGCGTTCTATTTGAGAAACTGGGTGCATCTTGCGCATCTGGACGAAAATAAGCTTGTTCGGTATCGTCAAAAAAAAAAAAAAAAGAGTGGCTGACGGTGCGCGCCTTTCCTGGCATTCAGTCTTGGCACGCCTGGCGGCTGTGCAAGTCATCAACAGAAGGAGCCTGTGACATATATGTAGCACGAACAGCCGGATCTGGTTAGAAGAAACTTTATTAAATAGGTGCATCAAAGAAAGCCTTAGTGTAAAGTGTCGAATTCGATGCCCCAAGGACTGCTCATTTTGAATGCAGGGTTATCTTACTTATCACAGTTTTCTTCGCGGGGTATTTAGCCCACTATTCTACTTTGTGATAGCTTATAATCGTTACCTGATCACTATATGAGAATCACGAAACGTTATCTTCGCGTAGGATAAAATATCTCGGCTTGCCACATTCCATTCGTACACCGAGAGTATCGAAGCTCTTACAGTCCCGCGCGGTGGCACCTCTCAACTGAAATGGTTTGCCCCTGGAAATACATAACTAACCTGAACAATTTTAGTATTCTATCTTTATTTTTGTGTGTTGAAGTAACGTTGTTTCTTTTGTTTTAAATATAAACTATACCGGAATGTAAAACTTCACACTGCATCATCTTTTCTCGAGTCACTAGTCTCTAATATGATATCTCTTTGTACAGTAAAATGCTGTATATAGTTTCTGTGAAGGTCAACGTAAATGACAGCCACAAATCCAGGGGCGCGACATGTGCAGGGTTTCGGTACAGTGACTGTAGTTTCGGTTTCGTCTTTCTTTTCGCTCAGGATGACTTTAAAGTGAGCGACGCGACTGTGGCTCGAGCGAGACATCGGAAAGAGAAGAAAAGGAAGAGGAGACGCGCGAGGGCCGGGAAGAACGTCAGTCGGGCCACCTTTCAATCTGTACTGTAAATAGACGTTTCTTTTTATTTCTCTCTCACTGATGGAGTCCTTTCAGTCATTTTTTTAGACCATAAACATCCGCACACCATCGGCGTTCCCAGTCATCGGGTCCCTGACGCAATCCTAAGAAGAAAACGAACCTTCACTGGCGCAGTCGACAGGATTGCGTCAGCGGGCCCCGCCGGCTGGAACGACTCAGCAGATTCAGCGGACAGCGACTCCATTCAACAAGAAGAGAGGCGGCAAGTTCCTGGGCCTCGGCAGCCGTGTTTAACGAAGAAGACTTGGATCGCCGAGACTTCGCGTCGACGCGGCTTCGGAAGTGCTGCAGACCCAAAGCCCTGCGAAGCGTCTACACGACTCGGACACCGTTATCGGGCTGGACTGTCCCGATCGACAGACTGCGTGTGCTTGCCATAGGGACTTGTCGACCTTCAAGGGTAAGGTGATTATTTTGACTGGTGCCCGCCATGGAGTTACGCAGTGGGGAACGGCTTAGGCCGGTTACCTCGTTGGTTCGGGATGGAGCTTACGATAACGATGTCGACGAGCGAGGTGAACCGTCACCTCAGAGTAGACCAGCGGCGACCGTGGGGACGCACGAGGAAGGGGTCCGGGATGGCCAATCGAGTAGCTCACTGATTGAAAGAGAAATTGACCTCGTAAGAGAAAAAGAACGGCTAGTGCGTCTAGAGCTTGAACTAGAGCGAGTTCGTGCGGAAAACAGACCCAGAACCAGTGGAGGCGGCGCAGAACTCAACCTGAGGGAGGAGGTGCTTAGCTTTTCCAGGCTCATGAAGGGTGTGTTGACCCGTCGTCCGAACTGCTCGTACCAAGCTGGTTCGACGGTGTCGAAAATGTCTTTGCGACATATGAGGTGCCTGAGCGCCTGAGGGGTTCGCTCGTGCGACCTTATTTTACGGAGCGCATGCGGGCGCTGGTGAATAAGCTGCCTGTCGGCGAAGCGAGTGATTACGGTGCGGTTAAGGAGCGAGTTCTCTTGGAACTCAAACTGTCGCCGGCTGACTACAGGAGGCTTTTTCTCAAAGCCACTAAAATGGAGAAAGAATCCTGGACTCAGTTTGCGACACGGGTTGAGAGCTGCTTTGAGTATTATGCTCGAAGTCGCTCGATCGACTCTCTTGAGGACTTGCTAGCATTAATGATTTCTGACCGCATTAGAGATTCCTTGCCCGTCGACATGCAGACCTATGTTACGCTAAATGAGACCGGAAAATGGCTTAAACCAGCAGAGGTGGCTGCGCTGGCTGACCGTTTTGAAGAGGGAGAACGATGCAAACAACGCAACAACTCTGCATATGCGAAAAACCGCGAGTCTGAAAAGAAAAGAGGGTCCAGTCCTGTCGGGAAAAAGCATGATAAGGTAGGGCCGGGCTCAATTTCGAACCAATCCAGGGTGAAATGTTTCAATTGCAAGGGTATGGAACATTTTTCCCGTGACTGTCCTAGTAAACAAGCGCGGGACCGAGACTTGAAGAATAACTCCGTGGTGGGTTACATCTGAACAAATTTAACACCATCCCAGCAGAGTATATACCAGGACATAAATGTCAATCAGAATGGTACGCGCGCTGATTTGCGGAGAGTGGAGGTGAAATGCGGACCGAGGATGGTGCAGGCGGTTATCGATTCCGGAGCGGAGATTAGCGTAGTGCGTAAAGGGGTGGCGCCTGAAATGAAGGGGTCGGCCGGAAGGGTGACACTGACTGGGGCGTTCGGGGACAGCGTGAGCGCCGTTTTACGCCATATACCGATGACCCTTTCCACAAGCTACGTTGTGTATGCCCCTCGAGAGGTGCCGCTCTTGTGCGCCGTCACTGAACAATTGGTTAACGGCATAGACATGCTGTTGACGCCCGATGACTACGACAGCCTAAAGTTGGCGTGCGGGAGGGTTGACTTGAAACCGATGGTTTGTGAAGCTGAAGACGCGCTTACTGACGAAGGTAATGAGGTCGCAGACGACGGCCATGGCGCTCAGCTTCGGTTTCTACAAGGTCAATCGGCCCGAGGACAAACCGCGCGTGGTGGCCTTTGTGGACAAGAGCCAATAGGCGCTCCAGGTGGTGCTGGTGGTCTTCAACAAGGACCGACTCAAGATGCTGGCCACCACCGTCGATGGAGTCGGGCCCCACGACTTCGGCATGGTGCTGCTGCGCTACTTCGTCCAGGAGTTCAAGGAGCGCTACATGCTGGACGTGGCCACCAACTGGCGCGCCCTCATGCGCCTCATCACCGAGTGCGAGAGGCTCAAGAAGCAGATGGGTACCAACCCGCACGACTGGCCGCTAAACATCGAGTGCTTCAAAAACGACCGGGACGTTGCGGGCAAGATGAAGCGGAAGACCTTTGAGACCATGTGCACCGATCTGCTAGCGCGAGCCGAGCGCACGATGGCGTGGGCGCTGACGGTGGCCGGGCTGCGGCCGCCGGACGTGAAGTCGGTGAAGCTGGTTGGGAGTGGCATCCGGGCGCTGGCGGTCAAGCAGCTCGTCCGCAAGTTGTTCCAGCGGTAGCCCTCCATGACACTGCACCAGGACAAGGCGGTGGTCCGGGGCTGCGTCCTGCAGTGTGCCATGCTGTCACCCATCTTCAAGATGCGAGACTTTGCGGTGGAGGACGCCCAGCTCTACCCTATCGAGCTGTGGTACGACCCGGGCAAGGGAGAGGAAAGTCGGGCAGAGGTGTTTTCCCGCTGGCACCAGCTGCCCTTCAGCAAGACGTTCACCTTCTACCGGAGCAAGCCCTTCAACCTCGAGGCCAAGTACCCGCAGGAGGCGGCGGTGACCCACGCGGACCTGCAGCCGGGCAGCTTCACGGTGAACAAGGTTGTCTCCGCGTCCGGGGGCGAGGCGTTTGGGATCAAGGAGAAAGTGCGTCGGAACCTGCGGGACATCTTCTCGGTGGTGTCCGCCTCGGACCGCAAGCCCGACGGTCGACAGGCAAGTGCTGGGTGTGCAAACGATGGCTACCTAGCGGTGGCGGGGGCGGCGACTGGCGAAGAGGCACCCCCAACCCAGGATGGAGACTCCGACAAAGTGACCGAGGGCGAACCTGTCAAGGAGGAGGATTGGCCCAGCCCAAAAGAGAAGCAGGCCAAGGTCACAGAGCTCCCGGTGGAGGGCCGGGTTTCGCAGCTGAGAGCCTTCGAGATGGACCAGCCTGTGGAGCGCGAGGTCCACATGGTCCACACGGACCGCAGAAAAAAAGAAGCGACTGATTTGTCACTGGATTTTTTGTCAAACAGTGGACAGCGGTCGCGTGCTTTGGGGAAGTAGCCTGGCCTAGAGAGAGCATATGTTCCTGAAACTAAACATTTGAGAGAAATCTCTCTGGTTGGGGAATACAATAATTAAAATATGGCAACCAACCAATTCCTAAACATGTAGGGGCCCTACGTTTCGAACCGACTCGGTTCTTCGTCAGGGGCGACTGTGGCCGTTGAGGAGCGACGTTTTTCGATCTTCTTTTTCTTTTCTCAGGGATGTGGCGCATTTCTCGATCTTCTTCTTTCATGAATATGGCGAAGCCCGTTCACATACACTGTTGGTAAAGCACCAAGGCACCTATTTATGTTGCCTGGCGTCGTTTGAATATGCCAGGACTCGACGAAAAGCCTATGTCGGTTGTTAGTCTCTGCGTCGATAATGCTGGTGTTGTCGAAGTCAATCCGGTGGTCTTTGACTTCGCAGTGCTCGGCGACTGCGCTGCGCTCGTGGTCGAGCTTGCGAACGTCGTTTTTGTGTTGGCGTATTCTTTCATTAAAATTCTTTGTCTCGCCTATGTAAGTGGCTGGACAATCTGCACAAGGGATCTTATAAACCACGCCCTGCGTTTTTTCTTTCGGAGGGCGATCTTTTGGACGGGGCATGAGTAATCCAAGCGTGGACATCGGCTTGTGGGCTACGCGGATTCCTTCTTTGGCTAGCACGCGTGCAAGCGCCTCGCTTGTTCCTCTGATGTAGGGTACGCAGATGCGCGAGGTTGGGCGTGGCTGCGTACAGGCTTGTGGTTGCTGTTGTCTTTGACCTCGAGCTTGACGACGGGCAACGCGTTGGATGAAGGTGCTCGTGTATCCGTTCTTTTTCAGATCAGCACGGACGGTTTTTTCTTCCTTTCTTCTGTCATCCTCAGAGGAGCATATAGCCTTCGTCCTAGACAGCAGTGTCCTAACCACCGATGCTTTGTGGCAGGCTGGGTGATAGGAATCAAACTGGAGATAACGTCCAGTGTGCGTGCGCTTCCTGTAGACTGAAAACTTCAAATTTTCTTTTTCTCTTACGAGCACGTCCAAAAAAGGCAATGAATTGTCTTTTTCAAGTTCCGCTGTAAATTGGATAGCCGGTTCGATGGAGTTGAGGTGTGAGAGGAATCTGTCCACTTCAGATCTTTGAAGGATGCAGAAGCAGTCGTCCACATACCGCACAAATATTTTGGGCGCAGTGGCGAATGACTGCAGGGCCTCTTCCTCAATGGCTTCCATGCACAGGTTAGCCGTGGTAACGGAGACAGATGCGCCCATGGCGGTTCCGCTGGCTTGTTTAAAATACTCTCCCTTGACGCTAAAGTAGGTGTTGCTGAGGCAGAACTCAAGTAGGCGGCACAGTTCCTCCACACTAAGGGCGGTCCTGTTGTGCAGGTCTTTGTCTTTTTCGAGAGCCTTCCTGGCAGCTGTAACTGCCAGGGGAACCGGCACACTTGTGAAAAGTGAGATGACGTCAAAAGAGACTAGGCTTTCCTCAGCGCTCACCTTCAATTTCGAGATGCGCTCCACGAAGTCGCTGGAGTTGCTGATATAAGTCGTCGTTTTTCCGACGAGAGGAGAGAGGGTGTGGTGAAGATAGTTCGACACGGCTCGAAGTGGTGAGGTTCTAAAGTCCACAATGGGCCGGAGAGCAAGGCTAGGCTTGTGGATCTTGGGAAGGCCGTAAAAACCAGGCGCAGATCCATTCCTACAAAGGAGGTGCAGGTGGAGACTCCTCGAGTCTGGATGTTTCTTGAAAATTTCAGTTAGGATCTTGCTCAGTGTTGCCTGGATTCGCGGTGTCGGATCCTTTTTTAGACTTTCATAAGCAGAGGTGTCAAGCAGGTCGTGTATCTTCCGGTCGTAGACATCCCGGTCGAGGACAACGGTCGAATTGCCCTTATCTGCTGGAAGAAGCACAATCTTTTCATCATCGTGAAGCGCCCGGAGCGCACTTCCTTCTTCTCTTGAAAGATTGTGTCGTTGATGCTGCGGGATGTTTGATAAAATACCGACAGAAGGTGATCGGTATTTTATCAAACATCCCGCAGCATCAACGACACTGCGAAGTCAAAGACCACCGGATTGACTTCGACAACACCAGCATTATCGACGCAGAGACTAACAACCGACATAGGCTTTTCGTCGAGTCCTGGCATATTCAAACGACGCCAGGCAACATAAATAGGTGCCTTGGTGCTTTACCAACAGTGTATGTGAACGGGCTTCGCCATATTCATGAAAGAAGAAGATCGAGAAATGCGCCACATCCCTGAGAAAAGAAAAAGAAGATCGAAAAACGTCGCTCCTCAACGGCCACAGTCGCCCCTGACGAAGAACCGAGTCGGTTCGAAACGTAGGGCCCCTACATGTTTAGGAATTGGTTGGTTGCCATATTTTAATTATAGCATATATTCCGCATACGCCTTTGCGGATTTTTATTTATATGCACGTTTCAGTTCATACGATGCAAGTCTTAAGGCATTTTTGGTAGTAACGGGTGTTTAGAGCCTTGGCGGGCACATTCAAAATCACCTTACCAGAGCGCAATTGACCAGTGTATGACGTGCGGACATTTTTTGTTTTTTGTTTTGTGTGATAATTTTGTGACATTGAGGCCCCAAAATTATACTTGTTGGGGAGGTGTGAAGGTCAACGTAAATGACAGCCACAAATCCAGGGGCGCGACATGTGCAGGGTTTCGGTACAGTGACTGTAGTTTCGGTTTCGTCTTTCTTTTCGCTGCAGGATGACTTTAAAGTGAGCGACGCGACTGTGGCTCGAGCGAGACATCGGAAAAAGAAGAAAAGGAAGAGGAGACGCGCGAGGGCCGGGAAGAACGTCAGTCGGGCCACCTTTCAATCTGTACGGTAAATAGACGTTTCTTTTTATTTCTCTCTCACTGATGGAGTCCTTTCAGTCATTTTTTTAGACCATCAACATCCGCACACCATCGGCGTTCCCAGTCATCGGGTCCCTGACGCAATCCTAAGAAGAAAACGAACCTTCACTGTTTCTTCTCACCTTTAGTGTGTGACCCATTTCTCTAGTTGTCAGTGACCTCATCTGAATAAAAATATGTGAAAGGTGTGTGTTAGTTTACTGAATCTGGAACTCAGAGTCACTTCTCGTATAGGGCGCTGCTAAGTGTAGGCTTTGAACAAGGTCCCTACTTTGGGGAGTTGTGTCTTCTTTCTCAATAAAAAAATGCAACATGTCTTTAAAAGAAATGAATGCCGAAATAAAGTATGACAGGGTACCCAAATTTAAAAAAAAAAAAATCGAAGGTGGTGGTGTTTTGTTTTTGTTTTTTTTTTTTTTTGTTTTTGCATCAGACGTTTTCGTTGTTTGATTTTTTCCCATGTTTGCCTAAATATATCCCGACTATCGTACCACTCAGATACCTTATTTATATCTTAAATAATAGCCATATTAAGTAGAATACTACCTGCAAATTATATAATAATGATTAAATTATTTCATGAGATACAAGCCTCTAAACTTTGCCATTTGTCGTTCGAGAGGGCATGTTTGGAATTTTTAGACAAATAAATCAAATTTAAATAAATATTATTACTTTATATTGCAAGCAAGCTGTACCCATAGTTTGTTTCTAAAAAGTATTATAATTCTTCTAACTTTATCCTTTTAGTTATTCACTTTCAAACGTGCCCCCTCCATCAGTGCGCGTTAATGCAACAGTCCACCCCTTCGTGCCTTACGATTTTTCTAGTCCCCAATTTTTTTTTCTGGTCAAAACTAAGTGTGAGTTTCTTTATACTAGACACTCGACAATGGCATATAAAAAAATCAGATGATTTAGAAATGTCGACCAGCCACCCTTTGGTTGATCTTATCTGAAATCTCCCAGTATTCGCAACATATCAGCGAAGCAGTCGGCATTAACTGTCCAATTATAGAGTCTTTCAATCTGGAGCAGTCTCGCGGGTACGGTAGCTAAGGAATAGCTATAGCCCAATACTGATGAAGCAGAGCTGTCGGGTGAGGGCCCAGATATACGTGCGCGTAAAATCGAATATAATATGAGCCTCCGATGGCAATGTTCAGCAAAGTTTCTAGGACATGATGATGCCCAAGTGTGATCTATATTAGGAATATCATTGCATCTCCATGTCCTTCTTTTTGCAGTAAGGCAACGTGTATTGGAGTCTTTCGAAGAATTGTACATTGTGCGTATTTGACTTCAGGGCTATCATGTGAGCGCATGATTAATCTTTATATACCCTGTGACCCGGTGTTTCAGAGCGCCCA